ACAACATGCACCTACCCTCCGTCTAATCCCTGAGACCTCACCACCTTCCACAACCATGCTCACTCTCTCCCCTCCAGTCACAGCGACCTCCTTGCTGGCCCTCCACATATCAGGTCCACTCCTGCCTCAGGGCCTTTGCATTTGCCATTCCCTCTGCCTGTAATGCTCTTCTTCAAGATATACACATGGCTCTCTCCCTCACCTCCCTCAGATCTTTCAGAAATACCCTTCTCAGGGAAGTCTTTTCTAGCCACCCCATTTTACAGTGCCAACCATCTCTCAACCCTCAACACTCCGGGTTCCCTTGTCCTGCTTTATTTTGCTCTAAAGCACCTGTCACTACTCTAATACAACACACATGATCTACCAATTGATCTTGTTTATTATCTGTCTCCACTGCTAGAATGTAAGCTCCATGCGGGCAGAGATTTTTGTCTGTTTTTTTCCCCTGCCATATCCAAGCACAGGGCCTGGTACCTGGCAGGCACTCAGTAGATGATTCCTGAAAGAATGAGGCTAATGGGTCAAGAAATGATGAGGAGATAAGCAAGGGAAAGCCATTAAGGCAATTCTTTCAAGATCTGCCATCGAGTATTAAGAAGAAACCAGTATCAGGAGATCTTCTCCAAATGGGAAAGACTCAAGCGTATGTACAGAATGTTGGGGGGTAGAGCAGCATGAAAGAGCCTGAGGACATGAGAGCAAGGGTATCTGGCTAAGCCGAGTCTGGGAGGGAGCAAAGTGAACGGCCTCACAAACAAGGGGACAAGGGACCGCTTTGGAAGAGACTGGGGCAGGCCAGGAGCATGAAAGGAGGCGTAGATCTGGGGGAACAAAGGGAAATTGAACAAGTTCATACCTAGTATTCAGTTTTCTATCTCAAGGTGTGGGGAAGAGTTTGAGTGGTGAGGGTTTGAGGCGGCACTTTGGAAAATGAGAATGCATGCCGATTCGGGGAGAAGAGGATTGCTCAGCAGGGCTGCGGGTTCCTCCCACTCCCAAAACCATAAATATGTTGCAGAGTTTGGGGATCTTCCCCAGTTACACTGGAAGGCCAATGAGAGCCAAAGGGGTAAGTCCTAGTATTATTTTAAAATTATTACGTTAAAGCCCTTATTGGACACTTTGGACATCGAACAAAATGTAAAACTCTAAGCGATAATAAATACGAGGGTAAGTGATAGGAATAATCATTGCTGCTGACCCAACTTAGGGCACCTCCAGCTGGCAAATACAATGCAAGATGGTGTCCCTGGAAAGAGCAAGTCTTGAGGACAGATCTGGAGAAAGAAAGACGAACGGTGACCCTTCGGCCGAGGACTCTGAAAGGCTACTCTAAGGAGCCGCACAAGAGGGCTGTGTACAGTGTAAAGGAAGGCTGGACCTGCAAAAGAGAAGATCCACAGAGAAAAACAAAAACCACTTAACTACAACTCCTGAAAATGGGCCCAGATATTCTGAAATGCTGAAATATGGGGCGCCTGGGTGGCTCAGTTGGTTAAGCGTCTGACTCCAGATTTCGGCTCTGGTTACTATCTCTGCATTGTGGCATCGAGCTCCGCCTGGGGCTCCGCAGTCAGCACAAATCTGCTGGAGATTCTCTCCCTCTGCCCCTCTCCCCACATGCTCATGCTTGCACTCTCTCTCTCTCAAATGGATAAATAAAATCTTCTAAAAAATGCTGAAATACGACATTATGGAAATAGGAGTATCTGATGTGCAAGGAAAGATCCCTAATTTCCAAAGGGACCAAAGCAGGGTCATAAGAGCTTCATAGTCATGAGCTACTAGGCTATCTGCAGAACCTGTAGAATCTTCTGCAGTCCATAATGAAAAGACTATTTCAAATTTTAAGGACTACGTCACTTTGAGCTATCAATTTTAATAGCTATTATTCATTATTCATACCATGCTATGCATATTACATGCTTTATTCCCATTTTATAGATGAAGAAACAGAGGCTTAGAGAGATAAGAAAGTTGTCCTAAGTCATAGCAATAGATAAGGGGCTGGACCAGAAATCAAAGCCAAAGGTGTCTGGTCCCAAAGACCATGCTTTTAACCTGTCTTTTCTCTTCCTAAGGTTATTTTTCCTTACTGAAAACACAGGAGTGATGACTACTTTCAATGTATTCTTATGAGACGTATAAGTCATTCTACGACGTATGTAGTAGGTATTTGTAGGAAGACATGTTTTTATATGAAATTATTGACTAAATATTCTAACATGTATTATGTCTTTCCAATGTTTGTGTTCTAGAGTGGGACACAACAGGTGTCAAGTAAATAAATGGCAGTCCCTGGGCCCAGGAGAATTCAATGCTCAAGGTCACGTCAGTGACCTTGAGGAATCATGTTCTCGAACATTAGTAGGGGGAAAGTAGGAGAAAGCAGTTTCTGCAAAGCACACAGCTGTGAGTTTTTGCAAGATCCAGAGCAAGATCTAGCCTTACTGTTACTGAAGTGATGATTAGTGGGCCCTTGACAAGTAAAACATTGATCACTGAGACCAACCAAGAGCAGGTGATTTCAGACCAACCCAGCTGCCTTCTTTGGGCTCACAGAACTACCACCTACAGTGGCAAGCAGGTAGGGCTGGGTGGTGGTGGGCCCCTTTAGAAGAAGCAAACTCACCATTTACATCCCCTGGATTAGTTAAGAGTCTGAATGACAGAATCAGGACTTAACAGTTAAGTAGAGCAAGGATAAAAATAAGATTTTGCACCTGGTTTCAAAAACCCAATTGAGTAAATCTGAGATAGGTAAGGGAATGGTTCAGGAGCCACAAACATGAAAATGTTTTTGAATAAGCTGGCAGCCAACTCACTGAGAGCTAACAGTGTGATGTAACTGACAGAATAAGGAAAAGCGGCCTTGGCTGCATTACTAGAACCTGGTGTCTGGGCTAGAACCAAGAAGGGTTCTAACCTGGGTGGGCTGGACTAGACCACCACACTACTATGGGGCCTTCTGGGCAGCTCACTTTGAAAGGGTCTGCTGGTTTTCATTTCCCCCACTCCCCACTATGATCACTGCACTGCTCTGTGTCCCGAGGGAGCTGACCCCCCTACATATGGCATTGTCCATACACCCTTGCCTCGGTGACCTCCCCCCGGGTCCAGCCAACTAGAAGCACCCACAAGAGACTCAGGGCAAGGAAAGAGAAGACACAGAGTATCTCTTGTGCCAATGTCTCCCTGCTCCATCTCCACGTTACTGATAGTCACTGTCTCTCCATAGCTGCAGATCCTGTCAGGCAGCCCCCCTTCCATAGCTCCAGCTCTCTGTGGGTTCCAGGTGGCTCCCTGAGTCCCGTCAGGTCTAGAGGCGGTAACAGCTTCCACCTGTCTGTCGCTAGCCCCTAGGTTCCTTATCAACCTTTCGGGCTTCACTTACCCCTCCCTCGCCTCTGAAAATAGTCCCTTCACGACAGTATTTTCAAAATCCCAGTTGAGTTGACCTTCTGTTTCCTGCAGGGCTCCCAAATGAAACTAAAGGGATAGGAAGCCAGCGGGCCATAAAATAATGCCTATGAGGACCGACTTTAAGAACAGAGGATGTCTGTACTGCTGAAGGGAAGACTCCAGGAAACAGGCTAATTCACTTGAAAAAAGTGAAGGGCTACCATCAGACTCATTCTTCTGGCTCCAGAGATTCTGGCTTCTGGCTCTAGAGATTCTCTATCTCTAGACAGAGACCAATTCTGTATTTTTACAACAAACTTTTCTAAAGAGGTGGCAAAGGTGGGTTGAGCACCAGGTAGGTCATGAGCTTCAGAAACTCAGTTGTTTAGTCTTAGCTAGAGAGCCCATATCAGGAATACAGTAGGAAAAAGAAGGGTAATGAAGGGCTTTCCAAGCCAGGATTTCATGATTTGCTACCAGCTATGCACTCCTCAGACAGTGGTTTACCGAAATAACCAAACCGGGAAAAAACATTTCTAGAGCTGTGTTTCGCTGCTTCTCACTTCAACACAGAAAGTAGTTTAGTCCTTTGTGTTAAGTTTGGTAACTCTCAGCACGGAAGTTCTTTTTTACGCTTTAAGGTAACTCAGAAACACAGAATTACTTGACACCACAGTATCACAGCCTTCAAAAGCACTATTCCCAAACCACGAAGCAGTCTGTGAAAAATTTTAACCAAGCAACTTCTATCTACACATCACTAGAGCTTCTTCTGAACTGTCACTTCATTTTTCAAACCAAAAGCCAAGATGGGAAATCTGCCAATGAGACAAAGTGTTTTACATGCAAATTGTCCTGGAAAAAAAAATAAGATCACTTCCATTCACCCTGGTGGGGAAAAGAAAATGTTTCTTCCAAAGAGCCCTCAGCTCCTGAGTTCACAGAAAGGTCACAGCGCGATGCTAAGTGTGTCTAATCCAGGTTTTCCCCTTGAGGGCGAGGTTGTCATTTATTACAGGGCCCGACCGCTAGGAAAGCCACTCATTCATTCAACAAACATTAATAGCGCCCTACTGAACCCTGGGGGCGGATGCAAGATCCGGAGGCCAACGCTGCTTCTGGGGTTCCGTGGGTCCAGGAAACGAGCTGATCTCAAAGGGCAACGGAGGCGGCGAGCGAGAGTGCGGCGCCCAGGAAAAGTTTCCGCAGGAACTTGGGGAACGCCAGCCTTCGGGCGCCGCGAGGGCGGGGGCGCGGGCCTCCGGGAGGACGCCGCCTCCGCCTGGGGGCCCGGCCGCCTCCCCGGGCCCCGCGGCGCTCGCCCCCAGCCCAGCGCGGGCGTCGCCGCGTCCCAGGCCGCCGCACCCGGGCGCCGCCAGGTCCTGGCGAGCAGCCCCCCACCCCGGCCACCCCGAGCTGGGCGGCGGCGACGACCCGCGGGGCGCGCTCGGCCCCGACCCCGCGTTCCGGGCAGCGCGCGCCCGCGCCGCCGCGCGCCTCCACCGCGTCGGGCACCCGCGGCGCGCTCCCGCCCGGCCCTGGAGCCCCGGCCCTCGGCCCCGGCCTTGCAGGGCGCTGGGCCCGGCCGCACTCACCCTCCTTGGCTTTCTTCCTCCGGGCCAGCGTCCCTCCGAGTTTCCCCAAGAAGGAGTCATCTTTCTTCCGGGACGGGGGCGACTTGGGAGTGGGGGACTTGGGGACAGAGGGCGACTTCTGCGGGGACGTGGCCATGGCGGCGGAGCGGGCAGCCGCGCGCGGGCCGGCCGGGACGCGGAGCTGGCTCTGGGCGGGTGCGGCGGGACTGAGGCTGCGGCTTTCCAAACGGAAGCGGAATTATTCCAAGCATTTGAGGCAGCTCACGCTCGCCTTTCCCTTCCCTCTCTCCCTCCCTCGCGCCGCCCTCCGCCCTGGAAGGAGCTGCGCGCTCGGGGCCCTAGCCGTTGGGGCCCGCGCCCGCGCCCCTTGCCTGCCCGGAGCAGGGAGAGTGCCCCAGATCTGCCCCTCGCAGGACGTGCGGCCTTGTCCGTGTGCGTGAGACCCTCCTGCCTGGGAGCGCTCCAGCCTGGAGGCCACATTTTCCCCAGGCTCTGCGCCCAACACAGATCCTGGTACAAATCCGGGGTTCAGTGACTGCGGAAGTGAGGCGACCTGCTAGGCTGTCTCCCAGTGTCTTCCCCCCCGGGCTGGTGGATGAGGAGCTCGCTCTTCCCCTGCATTTCTACCTGTACAGTTATTAGGCCATGTCTTGTGTCCAAAAAGAGCGTGAGTCCACTCTGGGAAGAGAGAGTGAACCAAAACGTGTTTAGGCATATCCATGTTGCTACACTTATCTACGGCAGTCAACCTCTTCTTTACTCCCACCCCAGGGTGAGAAGTTTGAAGTGCACGAGAGCAGGGCTGAGACTTCTTACAAAATACCCGTTTCTAGAAGCTCGGTGGCTTGTACAAAGGAGGATCACACAAACGTTGGTGGAAACATGAACGGGAAGGTACATCCATGGGCTCCGGTGAAACAGCCCTGCACCCCAAATTGATCCTGGCTAAATGAAAGCAACAGAATGGCAACCAAACTCCTTTGGGATAACAGGGGAGTGGCACCAACCCCAAGATTCAAGGACTCTTGCTAGAAATGATTAAAAGGCACGTTTTATTGTGCTTGCCCCCCTGAAGTTTGGGGCTCTCCGGGCTGTCTCCCTCTCTCCCCCTCACACAGCCCCTTGGCAACTGTTTCCTCCAAGGAGCTGCAGCTGGTTGACCCTGGGTGACCACCAGACCCAAAGAGAGGAAATGTTTGACTGGAGAACAGGCAATCAGATGATCTCAATCAAGAATCAGAACTAAGCTAGAGATTCATGTCAGAAGTCGAGCATCTAGTAATGATCATGAAGACTCCATTACTGGAGTGTTCTTTATAGTCATATGCAGGGGGATGAGCAGAGAAACAAACCAAGGGAGCAAGGAAGTGGGTTCAAGAAGCCAGGTGGTCTGATTACGAAAAACCCTGGGGTAGTAGCTGCCTGGACCTTGAATCTCTTCCCAGTGCCCACTGCAGTTCCCCAGAGGGCCAACCCGTGCTTCCTTCCTAGGACATATTCCTAAAGCTTTAAATAACACATCCGCCTTCGCTCCAGCTAATCAGCAAACTGACAAGCAATAATTCCTGAGAACAAAAATTTAACACACAAGACTGCCAATAGAGTCTCAGCGGAGTATGTGTTCATTTTATCTTTGTGTAAGAGTCACAATTCTACCTTTTTTTTTTGGAAAATTATACTTTTTTTCTTTTTTTGAAAGTTATACTTTAGCCGATGCCTCTTACCTAACAGAAAGCAGAGAGGTCATGCTGACTGCTAAAATTTTCACCCAGGAGCAAGGAAAGATTACGACACCCTCCCAACGCCAACCACCATCTTGATAAATCTTAAAGGAGATATGGAGAAGCCAAAATAGATTTTGTTTTACATCACTAACAATTCTTGTTCAGGATATTGGGTACATAAAAATATCTCCAACATCTGATCTCTAGCCCTGTGGGCTCCTGTCAGGGTATCAGGAGACACACCGCTCAACAGTTCTGTGATCGCAGGCAACCGTACTCACTTACCTGGGTCTCCATTTCTTCATCCACAAAATAAAGTGGGGCAACAGAAAAATGGTTATCTAACCTGATTGTGCATCACAATTCCTTAGGGAATTGGTAATAAACATTCACAGGCCCCATCTCTAGAAGTTCTGATTCAGTACACCTGAGGTGAAACCAAGGAATAGGTATTTTTTAACAGGGATTATATCAGGTGATTTGATGGGGCTGATCTACGCACTGATATTTGGGCACCTGGAGCCACTTCCAGCTCCCACACCCTGAGGTTCTCTTTTCTTCATCAGTTGCTGGTATTTGTGGGCAAGGTTTAGGTCCTAAATACGGCATGATCAAAATTATATGTGGAGATCTCTTAAATTTTGCTCATGCAGGCTTTTGCATTTACAACCCTCTTTGGTAATGTTTATGCATACTAAAGTTTGAAAGCACCTGAGCAAGACTAAAAAAGAGGAACAAAGCCTTGGTTGTTGTAAGCTGGCTCTCAGAAAACACCAGCAAAATAAGCTGTGGAGAAGACAAAGCTTGAGTTTATTCTACGCCATGGTAAGAAGACCCCTGCCTTGGCAGAGTCTGCGTAGAATCTTGGACTGGGGGAGGGCAAAGTGGGGGATATTTATAAGGTTTGGGAATCTGGTTTAAGGCAGCTCTTTCAATGAGGGAGTGCTTATTTAATTTTGGCTGAAGATCAGACTGGTTTAGGATTGGTAGGTTAAAAAAGGCAAATCTTTTAGAGTCTTGGAGAGTAAATAATCTTTTCGATGCTATTGAAAAGTTTAAAGGTTTTACATTCATTTCAGTAAGGTTTTGGGAGAAGGTCTTGAAAAGCACAATAAAGTTATTTGGTTTTAAGATTTTATTTATTTATTTATTTGAGAGAATGAGAGAGTGTGCGAGCAAGCATGAGCAGGGGTGAGGTGGGGGGGGCAGAGGAAGAAGCAGGCTCCCTGCTGAGCAAGGAGCCCAACATGGGGCTCGATCCCAGGACCCTGAGATCATGACCTGAGCCAAAGGCAGACACTTAACTGACTGAGCCACCCAGGCGCCCACAATGAAGTTATTTGTAACTCTTATCTTTCCGTGAAAGATATTTTTGGAATGGTGATGTTGATAAAGACAGTGAAATGGTGAAGTCCCATTAATGTGAATGGAAACCGTATGGATGTGAATGGTTTCCAGGGTCTACGTATTTTACAGATGTCTTGTTTACAAACCTTCCTGCTTCTAAGATAATTATCAGTCTTTCTTGAAAGAGAGATTCCCATTAGGGAATGAGTGGTGAATTATAAATCAGTGCCCCTCAAAGTGTAGTCTGAAAACCAGTATTGATCTGCAAACTGTTATTGGTCCTCTATGATATAAATACAGAAATTGAGAGTGTCTAGAAACTTTTATAGGAATTTAGCAGTGCAATTTTATATTTATTTGATATAATAATAAAAATTGGAAGTTTATATTTGGAATATCATTTCATTTTATTTTTTTGATAATTCTTTTTTTACTGTATTTTCCAAAAATACTTGTCTGAGATGGATTGGTCCTTCACCATAGATCATTTGGAAAGTGCTGTTCCAAATTGCTCCAGTGTGCTTACAGAGTTCAGACACTCTCTTTTGATACTATGTGTTTCTAGTCCTTAAGGATATGATTTGGTTCTGCTCAGAAGACTAAATGAATTGATACATGGGAAAGCATCTTACACAGGGTCTGGCACTGAAATAGACTGAATCTAAATCCTGCTTAATCAAGGCCACACACCTCATGCTGTTCTTTGATAAGATGCATAGAAGACCCTGCACCAGCTCCCTCACTGTAAATTGGTGTCTATAATTATGGCCCCACTGAGGAGCCGAGCCGCCCTTCTCATGCTTGGTCACTGGTCTCATCTTACCCAAGGTTTAATGATAAGGACAGCTCATAAATGAAATGTGTGTTGCTGTGAGACTCTATTGAATCTCTAGGTCAGTCTCTCCTTGAAATCTAGAGCTAGACATACCATCCTGGGAGAGAGCAAACCCAGGTTCTAGTCCTGGCTCAGTGGCTAGGTGACTCTGGATGAATGACTGGCCCTTCTGTACTTCCATTTCCGTCATCAGGAAAGTGAGGGCAGTACCTATTAAAGCTGAACATCACACACACCTGATGATCCACAATTTCAATCTAGGTTATACCCAAGAAGAATGAGTACATTTGTGCACTCTGATACATCTTCTAGAAAGTTCATGGCAGCACCATTCAAATGCCTATTAAGAGTTGACTCCATAAATAAGTTGTGATAGTCGCACAATGGAATATTATACAGCAAGGAGAGTGAACAATTTGCAACTACAAGGAGCAACAGAAAGGTAGCTCACAATATTGAAAAAAAAATCAGACACAAAAAGAGCATATACTCTGTCATTCTATTCATATAAAGTTCAAAAACGGGCAAAACTAATCTCTGATGTTAGAAGTCAGGATAATGATGAGCCTTGCGGGGGGGTAGTGACTAGAATGGGACAGGGTGGGTGGGAAGGCATGAGGGGAGGCTATGGACTGGTAGTGTTCTTTTTCTTGATCTGGGTACTGGTTACATGGGTGTATTCACTTTGGAAATTCATGGAATGTGCACTTAAATAATTTCAACAATTTTCTATATATATATGCTTCTTCAATATAAATGACTCCATGACATTACCAGTCCATAGCGTGCCCTTTAGGGTCCCTTTTATCTCCATGGTCTCCTTCTGCAACTCCCTCAGTGGCCCACATCACTCAAAATTCCACTGTTCTCAAACTAGGTCACTTCTGTCCCCAGACCTTCCCTTAGGAGATCATTTTTCTAGCGGAACATGCGCTGCTCTCAGGCACCCAGCATCGTTCCCATCCTGGTCCTTCCATCTTCCCTTAGCAATTCCCATGGGGCGGGGATGTTGTAATTTACACGGCGGCAGGAGCAGGTAGTGGTGAAGGTTTGGGGCTTGAATCGCCATTCTGTAGTCAAGTATCTGTGCAATCTTGTGCAACTGATTTAACATCTCTGTGTCTCAGGTTTCTCATCATAATGCAAACAAATGAGCACTTGCCTCATAAGGTTATTGGGAGGATCAAAAGAGTGTAAATAAACTACTTTGCTCAGTGCCTAGCAGATAACAAGTCTTAGCACAATAAAGTGTTGATGATTACATTTCACTGGAGACTCATAAATGATATCATTACCTCCATT